AGTCTCACTCCATTGCCCAGGCTGGAGTGCAGTGACATGATCTCAGCTCACTGCAGCCTCTGCCTCTCAGGTTCAAGCGATTCTCCTCCCTCAGCCTCCCGAGTAGCTGGGATTACAGGCACATGCCACCATGCCACACTAATTTTTGTATTTTTAGTAGAGACGGGGTTTCACCATGTTGGCCAGTCTGGTCTCAAACTCCTGACCTTGTGATCCGCCCACCTCAGCCTCCTAAAGTGCTTGAATTACAGGCATGATGAGCCACCGTGCCCGGCTAGTTTCGTTTTTCACATAGGATCACCCTGAGTCTCTCCTGCCTGGCACATCATCGGGTCATCAGCCCAGGGTCATTGGGAACCCTCTTACAATCACCTAGGCATCTTTGAGACATTTGAGGTTGTCCAGAGCAGAACTGTGTCAGGCTGACAAGAGTGGTTAATTATGCTTCTGTCTCAGTGTAAGAGAAATGAGTCATTCTGTGTTTGTTCCTCCCCTCATACAAGAGATGTCTTGGTTGGTACCCAGATGAGAGTTTCTCAAGTTTCCTGGTACTTGGGTGAAAAAAAAAGAAAGGGTCTGGAGACTCAAATAGATAAATTAATTGCTTCCATTTTATATGGCCATTCGAAAATAGTTGAAGCAATCATTGTTCCTACCATGCAGGAACTTTAAGTCTAGACTAGTAACTGGATAAATGGTTGAATGAAGCATTATATGGTTGGTACAATGTATAGCATTATATGGTTGGTACAATGTGTGGAAAAAAAAAAAACTTGGCCTTTGGCCACTTTCTTTATATTGTTGTGACTTCTGATGTCATCACCTGAAGGGATATTTATGAACAGAAGACTTGTTATTGTTTGTATTCTTTTTTACTTTCCTGTTAATACATATTTATGTTCTAATAAAATTACCCTAGAAAACCTTAAGGAATTTGTTTAAATTACTTATTGACATGGCAGTGGCTAAAAGAAATTAGAGTTACACAAACTCTATAATGTAAATTTCTCTTAGGTAAGCTAAAAAAAAATCAGAACTGGAAATATCTCAATGGCGTAGAGAGCAGAATTCTACATAGGGTCCACTCCCTCCCCCAGTTCTAAGATTCACTCTTTTTGGAGGCCTTATTTAGGTCTGGCCCCACTGTGGAGTCTTGCCTCACCAAACTGATTAGAAGAAATTAGTTTTGGCTGGTGAGTCCTGCAGCCTTTTTAGAACTGGTGCCCATAACTCTTTGAAACCCAGAAGCAGATAAATGGCAAAAATAAAGTATTTATTTTGGGGCCTTAATTTTTTATTTTTAATTTTTTTTTTATCAAAACCAGGACTTGCTGAGATGTTCCATGTAGCAACTTGTTTTCTGTTACTGCAGATTTAGTAGTTGCTCCATAAGCCATAAAAAAGTAAATATAAACACAATAAAAAATTTTTCTAAACTACATTAAGCTTTTCTGTATCCCTCTCATCTGTCTATATTTAGCTTTTATTTTATACATCTTCAAAAAAAAAAATCAATGACAGAAACAGAAGAAATAAAAATCCTGGGCTCTTTATCCTGAGATTTATTGAACACCTCGTACCAACTCCCAGGGTGTTATGAGGATTAAATCAAATAATTTATTTTTCCCAGCACAATGCTCTGTAACACTTGAGGACATAGCACTTGCTTAATAAACGTTACGCTAGTGCATGTGTACATGTTGTTTTCCGAATGCAGACTCATTCAAACGTTGCTCCCTTTTGTTTCCTCTGTAAACTTTAAAGGACCAGCAAAGAATATGATACTTGAGGATGGAGATTGGTTGTCTTTGTGTTGTGATGAGAGTGCTGAGTTTAAGGGAGTCTGTGCTGTGCCTGCTTTCTCCAGCTAATGCTGATAATGAGCCCAGGAAGAGCAATATCAGCATTGACAGGGGATTTGTTTAAAACACCCATTCATGGACCCTTTCCAAACCTGCAGAATCACATTACATAGAGTGGGACCAAAACTATCAAGTGATTTATAAGCTCATTAAAGCTTGAGAGGCAATGCTTAGCTAAGTGGTTATCAGCCCAGGCTTCTAATTAGGATTACATGGCTAATTTAAAAAATCTTACTTGTGCCCTTTCCACAGGTTCTGTTAATTGTTCTTGGTGGAAGCATCCATATTGTTCTAAGTAAGGGCCTCATGTGAGTCTTAAAATGAGGACAGAGTCAAGTATGAGGGGTTCAGGATACATTCATGAGAGATAAGTTCCACCTTTGCATTCAGGGTTGGTCACAGGGCCTGTTCTGTTCAGGTTTGGTAGAGACAGGTCAGTGTGGCCCATATTGCCATTATTGTAGCAGAAATTGGTGGTGTCTGTGCCAGGGGAGGGCACCTGAGAACAGGAAAAGGAAAAGGAAAATATATATATTTAAGAGACGGAGTCTCACTCTGTCACCCAGGCTGGAGTGCAGTGGCACTATCTCAGCTCACCGCAACCTCTGCCTTCCGGGTTCTAGCAATTCTCCTGCCTCAGCCTCCTGAATAGCTGGGATTACAGGCTCATGCTGCCATGCCCGCCTTATTTTTTTGTGTTTTAGTAGAGATGGGGTTTCACCATGTCGCCCAGGCTGGTCTCGAACTCCTGAGCTCAGGCAATCCACCAGCCTTGGCCTCCCAGTGTGCTAGGATTACTGGCCTGAGCCACTGTGCCTGGCCGAGAAACTTATATTTTTATCTTCATGGAGTGTCTCATTGTTCCTGAATCCCTTCTTGTATAAAGGACAGAAGTGGGTGGACTTTTTCTCCAGGTTTTGGTTTTTCTGCCTGTGGGTGTGGCGGTAGCAGGTAAACAGGGGATGCTGATACCTTTAGAGGCATGTTCTCAAGATACGAGTGTAATTTGTCCAGAGAATCTCATCTGAGAAGGAATTCCAAAAAAGGAGAAAGAGGAAGAATTGGTGCGTTTTTTTACTTAAACCTGTCTCAGATCAAGAGCTGTGTCCACTCTTCCTCCTGGAATACCATGTGTTTAGTACTTGCAAACCTTTACTTCTCTGCTTGATCTTTTCCTCCCTAATGAGCTAGTTTCAATTACTTTAAAAATTCATTATAATAGTCAAGGGTCTCTGAAAAATATTTTTCCTATGTACCAGAGCCGCCTTTATATTCTCTGCATCGTGACTTCTTATGTGCCACGCAGAATTCTCATTATGAATTTATAATCTGCAATATTAAAAATATTTCCTTTGTAGCTGTTGAATTATGGGAATGTGTGGATACTCAAGATTTCTACTGGGGAAAAGCTGGGGTCCTTAGTAAAGAAAAAACATGTAATGTTGAGGATCCACCTGTGTTCTCCATTAGCTCTATACAGAAAAGGACCAAGAAAATGCTTATTTAAACAGAATGGCATTTATCACCCAGGAAGTTCTGAAAAAATTTTTAGGAGATTCCTGCTCTCTAGGGTGCTGAAGAAAGACTACTTAAAATCACTAACAGTACAGTAAATAGGAGACATCTGTATTTTGAACTTTGCATAAAATTGATGTTTCTTTATGGTTAAATTTAGATTATAATTTACTTTTCGGGAGCAGTATTCCAGCAGTGATGCTGTGTTCTTTGTGCATCAGCACATCATAAAAATTTGTTCCTAGTGCAGTTGATGTTAATGATTCACTTGGCTAAAGAGCTCTCTGACAAGTGTTTTTTTTTATAGAGTTAATTACTTTTCATTAGTAAGTATCTTCATACAGCTGATGTGCATAAATTATCACATTTGATTGGGCAGCTGCCTTTTTTTCTTAGGTTTTATTTGCATATATGTCTTTGGAAGATGAAGGCTCTCATCTTTATTTACAAGCCAGAAAAACTGGGAAAAACACAGGTTCTTTTTTGTTTGTTTGTTTGTTTTAGATGGAGTCTCGCTCTGTTGCCCAGGCTGGAATGCACTGGTGCAATCTCAGCTCATTGCAACCTCCGCCTCCTGGGTTCAAGCGATTCTCCTGCCTCAGCCTCCCAAGTAGCTGGAATTACAGATGCACACCATCGTGCCCGGCTAATTTTTACATATTTTTTAGTAGAGATGGGGTTTCACTATGTTGGGCAGGCTGGTTTCGAACTCGTGACCTCAGGTGATCTGTCTGGCTCAGCCTCCCAAAGTGCTGGGATTACAGGCGTGAGCCACTGTGCCCGGCAACACAGACTCTTGTACTTAGTGGATGTTTGACAAAATATTCTTCTTGGGCCAAAAACATTGGCATTACTGGTGAGCTTGTTGGAAATTCAGAAATTCAAACTTTATTCTAGATCCTTAAAAAAAATCGGCATAATAAGATCTTCAGTTTATTGTACACATTAAAATTTGAGATGTACCTTCTAACTCAACGTGTCTTTTCCATCTGAAAAATATATACAACTCGTTGTGTATGATGTAAATATAGCATTCAAAAATTTACACGTTTGTATTCATGTCTTTTTATACTTTTTCGTTCAAAAAAGTATATATACACTGATGTTGTGGATCTTGTGCTGTTCTGTTATCTGAGTTAAAGAATACATTAGATAATATTTCTGCATTTAAATTTATTTTATTGTATAATTTTAGTCACTCCTTTAAGTCAGAATCAGTTTTCTATATTGTCTTACTTTGCCTTGAGCCAAAATAAAAATTCTGCCCATGGTTATTTAGTAAATATATATGTGTGTGTTTGTGTTTTTCAGGGACCATTGACATTTAGGGATGTGGCCATAGAATTCTCTCTGGAGGAGTGGCAATGCCTGGACACTGCACAACGGAATTTATACAGGAAAGTGATGTTTGAGAACTACCGAAACCTGGTCTTCCTGGGTGAGGATAACTTTAACACACAATTCCTAATATGCCTTAAAGGTTTTATTTCTCTGTTTTTGTATAACTTGTGGTAATTTGTGCTTTGCATAAATGAGTTTCAGATCCCTGTTTTCAAGAAAACCTTTGAGATTTGTCTGTGTAGAAAGAAAATTTCTTTATTATGTTTCATCTTGACCTGAACTTTACACATTCCTGAGCTGATCTGTATCCTTCACTTTAGATTAGTGGTAATTACAGAAATGTGATGGCATAAAATGTTGTTGCCCACACCTTAAAATTTAATTGCCACCACCAATTTTTGATTCAGTAGTACTGGGTAGTGAAATTAAAGACCTACAAATTTTAAGTATTTTCTCACTATTTAGAAATGTCTTATAAATTAGTAATTTGGGATTAATTTACTAGAATATGCTATGACATTCTCTTTACTGAGCACATTAGTAGGTCAGTAATTGGAGGAGATGAGCAAGATTCATGTTATTTATTTTTAATAAAACAGGTATTGCTGTCTCTAAGCCTCACCTGATAACCTGTTTGGAGCAAGGAAAAGAGCCGTGGAATAGGAAGAGACAGGAGATGGTAGCCAAACCCCCAGGTAGGTGAGAATGATAGCGAATACAACAGATGACACAGATGAGAGGTCCAAAGGTCAAAGAGAAAGTCAGTTCTTGACATGGAATTTGGGAAGCTATGTTCCAGAGAAAGTAGTTTCTGGGAAGCTCAGTTTCTTTTCTCTTGTTCTCACATAGGGGCATCTTCTTTCTTATGCTCTTAAATTCTCTAAAAATTCTACTTCCCCATCAGTGATCTTCCTTCAAGTTTACTGTGAGCCAGAATCCTCTTTGTGGCTTATAAGAGACTGCACAATCTGACTGATGTTCCATTGTTTTAGGGACACACAAATATCTGCAAAATTTTGAGAAACTGTTATTTTTTAAGTTCTCTTTTTACATCATGTCTGAAATATGTGTGATTAGTGGTTTCTTTTCCAATTTTTTGATTCATTTTTCTGCACACTTTGTCTTGTTTTTATTTAGTCTTTTTTTGATAGTCTTGAAATATAGTTTGAAATTATAAAGTATAATGTCCTTCTTTGTTCTTTTTCCTCAAGATTGCTTTGACTATTCAAAGTTTATTGTAGTTTCATATAAATTTTAGGATTTTATTTTTCATTGCTGTAAAAAAATGCCACTGGAGTTTCGATAGGGAGTTCATTGAATCCATAGATTATTTTGGATAATATGGCACTTTAACAGTATTTATGCTTTCAATCC